TTAATTTAATATTGCCAGAGGTCTTCAAAGTTAGGAATTCTTATTTCATTTCCTTTTAATTTAATATTGCCAGAGGTCTTCAAAGTTAGGAATTCTTATTTCCTTTTAAATTAATATTGCCAGAGTAGCTCCAGAGGTAGCTAGCTAAGGATTCCTTATTTAATTATCAACTGATTGATTTTCATATACATTATTTTGGAGGCCTTGGTTGTTGAGGGGGGGGGGTTTATAAATCAAGGGACTACATTATCTATTTTTTTGTTTCTCGACTTTCTCTAGCTTTTTGACAGGAAGGCGATGGGATCTGGCCGGGCTGAGAGCTATGCATCTGGCTGGCAATGATTTTTTGTTTGGCAAATTCTGATTTTTGGAACGTGTTGCGAAAGCTTGTGTTTCTTCGTGGGTGTTGACAAAGTTGCACCTGCGGTAGGTTTTCAATGAAGATGACCCGGCCCTTTTGCTGCGGCAGATTCCAGCACAACTGGTGAAAGCGACGGATGATGGCCTTCGGCATGTGTCGATGCATGTGGCGGTGAAGCGTCAATACGTCCGCGACTTTGATGCTGACAGTGCGATTAGCCACAGCGACTGTTTCCCAGAGACTTTGGCCCTCACGTGCAAGTCAGCGAGAAAGAATGAGTTTGAGCCGTGCTTCAAATCTGTTTTGAAGCAAGAGGTCTTGCTTCACGTCAATGGTTGCGATGTTGACCTGGTTCTTCTTGGGGCCAATTTGGACACTCATGACGATGCCAAGCTAGGCCAAGTGGAGGCATTAGAGCGGATGCTACAGGTTTCGCAGCGTGGGAGTGCCAAGTTTTGTGCCCTAATGTGGGGAGACTTCAACAATCGCTTGGTGGCTTCTGATGATTTGAAAGCAGGCGTCAAAGAGACCAAAAAAGGTTTCGAGATTCTAGATGTTGGCGCTGAGTATTTAGTTGATTGCATCTTGGACGGATCGCGGCGTTCTGAGCTCCTCCAGAAGGATGCGCTGACCTATTGCGGCTTGGACCTGACAGGTCGGCCGTTTCGTGCCCCTCGGTGCAATCGTCGACTCCTGGAGCTTTTTGAGACGGGCATCGAAGCGGCGAAAGAAGCGGACGCCTTGGAGTTGCCGTTGCCCAGCTACAAGTATATGCCTTTGGAAACAATCCTCTCACAGAGCCTCCAGCACCAGATACGCTTGCTGGAAGTCGTGTGCTTGGATTCTTTGCAGCCCGTCGACTGGAGCCAGTTTCTCTCCGCTGAGATGACCTATTTTAGTGATTCGGCAAGATATGTGCATAGAGATTCCAATGGCAATTTGCTCTTACCACTGGGCTGGCCAGATGGCGTTGGCGTGTGGAAGGCCAACACCGTGGCAGCTAGCATCCAGCAATGGCAGAGTGAGTGGAACTTGCGATCCTTTGATCACTTGCCGATGCGTTCCTTGCTCTCGCTGAAGCTTGGAAGCGAAAGAACCGAAAGGGAACGCAAAGAACTGAAAGTTTGGCTTGGCTTTGTCAAACTTTATGGAAAGAAACCCACACTGGAGGCACTTACGGAGCTGCTCTATCGGGATGACACATGCTCAGCCGTGGACTGCGATGTTATTGCGCTGCACCTTGCAAGTGCCTTCGTCACACCAGAATGCATCTCTGATTTCCAGAGTGTGCTCAAGAAATGCATGGCATTGCGGGACGCATTGAACACCAAAGACTATGTGTTCAATGAGGATGATCCAGCGCTGCCTTCAAGCCAGATTCCCGCAGAGGTGGTGAATCGAACAGAGGATGGAATGACGTTCGTCTCCATGCATGTTGCAGTCAAGCGGAAGCACATTCGCAAAGTTGATGGAAGCGATTTCATCAAGTATCATGACTGCTTTCCTGGCCCGACCTCCGTAGTGGGCAAGTCAGGTTTCGAGAACGAGCGCAGCGAGTACAGAGTGAACGCAACGAGCACGGATCATCCCAGGCTCGTCTTGAGACAAGACGTCCTTCTGTGGGTTGATGGTCGCGAAGTGGATGTGGTTCTTCTTGGAGCTGACCTGGACACCAATGTTGCGGCACGGCTCGTTCAAGTGAACGCTTTAGAGCGGCTGTTGAGGATGGCCAGCCGAGATCGCACAAACTTTTGTGCCTTGTGCTGGGGTGATTTCGCCAATCCACTGGTTGCCTTCGAAGGCATGAAGGAGTTTTGGCTGCTTTCAGATCAGACTCCTTTTTAACTTTGCTGCATCGATCCATAGTGAAGCACCATAGTACATTTTATGCTTCCATCAGCTCGTGCACACCTGAGGATCATGTTGTTTTCAAAGAGGGCAAGTTTGCGATCCCAGACTCAGGAGTCAGGTTTCTGCTAAATTGCTTACGAGAACCGTCTGAACGATTGGCATTGCTGCACAAAGACTCTCTGACCTATTCCGGGGCAGACGTGACAGGGAAACCTCACCAAGCCCCACCATGCAACATCAAGCTCAGGCAAATGCCGCTTAGCAATGGAGCTCCCAACCTTTGTGAGAGTTTCTTTTGGCGCTTTGGCCTTTCCTTGGCTGTCGGTGATGCACTGAGGTTTTCCTTATCGTTGGATGCAGCGTTGGCCTCCGGAGTGGTACCCTGGCCCTTCTACCAGGTCCAGCCTTTCGAGGCTCGACCCGATGTTCTTGGCTTCGAAGCAGAGCCAAGCGAAACCGAAGCGAAACCGAGAGCCACCAGCGCAGGTGACGCTCGCCCAGCAGCTGGGTTGTCGGCTGAAACTGGTGGAGATGGCTTCGCTGAGCCGCATCAGAGCACTGAGCCCTTTGATCCTCAGCGCATGCAGAGTTCCCAACACAAGTCAAGGAAAGGCAAATGTGTTTCGGCTGCTTTTGACTAAGGACTTGGCCTCACTCCTCAAGCACTTTGGAACGTGAAGGTCTGCTGTCTGCATACTTTAATTGGACGGAAGACGGCAAGAAGATGCAGCGGAAGATTCGAGTGGAACATGTTGAGAATGACCGGAAGGACAACTACTATTTGCAGCGGCTTGTTTGCACGTGCTTGTTTGAAGCCGATGTTGTTTCGTTTCTCTATCAGCTGATGAGGCCTATGCTATGGTGACCCTCAATTAGGTAGCATATAAAGGGAATCTCGTTGGGCGATGTATTGGCGGCTTCTGCCATGGTCTGCCATGTTAATCCACCAGACCTTTTTCCGGTTCTCATCAAAGACTTCCAGTTTGTGGCCTTGAGGTTTGGCTGGTTGGATGGCGTCGCGTGGTACAAAAAGAACTCGGTGAAGACGACCCTTTGTTGCTGGGAGACAGTGCAGAGTGTGCAGGCCTTCGACCACTTGCCCATGAGGGCCAAAATGCAGGCCAATCCTTTTTTGGAAATTGGGATTGAAAACGATTGAAAAGGGTTGTGGATGTTTTGGGGGCATCAAGGTGGGAAGGATGGCGTTCATGAGAGGAAGGAAAACTTCTCCCTTGTGCAAGGTCATGCTTTGAGGCAGCAAGCTGAGCTGCATTTAAAGCCGGCTCTTGCCTGATAGAGCATGAGAGAGCCAGTTTGGCTGTGAGAAAGCTGCTTGTAGACTTGGAGACTGGCTCATCTTCTTTCTCATTTGGAATTCATAATTTTCAAACACTCCTTTTTCTTATATAACTGGTTTAAGCAGCTTCCGCAATTCGGTCTCCCAATTTGGTTTGGACTTGATGGACCGGTTTCATGGTTCAGGTGTTGCCCAAAGGCTGTCAACAAGACATCCAAATGTTTCAAACCAACATGCTGAAAGGACCGCATTATTTGAACTTAGGATCCTCCTATATAACTCAGTTCAGCATCTTTCTTTCTGATTTCACTTGCATCCTCTTCCTACATCGAAATTTGTACCTTCACCTCAGGTCTTGGAAGTCTCTGCTGCTCTTTGCAACCTTTTCATGTGTGACCTCGTCCGTGGCCTGCGCCCCACAGCTTTTGCGCCGGCCGAGCTAAGAGCCGTTCTTCGGTTGGAGCTGTTGGAAGTCTAGCTCAGGTCGTCCTAGCGTGGGAGGTGGTGGAGGCGGTCAAACACAGACAAATTACTTTGGGTGTTCGACTTGAACTGGAATCGTAGCCTTTGTCGCAGAAGATTGAAGATTGTACGACAGGCCTTAGCCTTCCCCTCTTCCTTAGTCACAAGAATCTATGTTCGCGGAGGTCTTTCGGACAGCCGATGAGAAGGACTTCTTCGCGGGCACCCGCGGGCTGTGTCCTTAGAGTTTGATGGTCAGAATGGCCACACAATCGCAGAGAGAGAGAGAGAACTCTTATATATATACCTGAGTTTATCTCTTACCCATAGCTTGACTCAGATGAAAGCCCCCACTCATCTGATGCTTGGCTGAGGTGTAGTGGATTAGTCGTGGCGCTTTCCGTGGGACTTCGGCATGCCATTGTCTCGGTTTGTTCGATACAACCGCATCACAGTCTGAATCGGAAGGCGTCCTTCACCACAGGATTGCATTTTGCACAAGGTATGTGCATGTGGGAGGTGAAAGGAACCCATCTGTCTTTTGTGCCGAACGCTTTGCATTGAAAGTGCCATGACAGTTGAGACTTCAAACCAGGCTTATCCACTGGAGGCCTTGGACATTTGAAAGTAAAGTGCGAGCCAACTCGTTTTTTTTTTACATTTTTCTGGTGTGTTCCAGTGCTTTCCAACTTTTGCTTGGCGCCTGATGCTGTGCTCAAATTAATCAGGCTTGACATGACTTCTGCCGACTCAAATTGAAGGCTGAAACACTTGCATGGCACAAGCTTGAGAACAAACATGCAGAGGCAACAATTTTGGGAACTCCGACAATACCATGCGCCTAATATGGCTTCCTCACATATTCGACCTTTGCTGCAGGTTTGGTTGTTATGATATGGCCGGGGGTATGGTGCCAAAGCGATGTGCCCCAAAAGTGTGGACATACTAGGCGTTCCCACGGTAGCATATAGTTAAGGCTGGGTTCCATCGAGGAACGCTCATGCCTTGAGATTTGGCCGCAAGAGCCACAAAGAACTCGTGGCCTCTCTGATTTGAGAGACTTCATGCGAGCGTGGGGCGAGAGTGTGGAGGACCCACAACCAGAGCTTGTGACTCCTCACTTGAAGGAGCAGGTGTGTGGTTGAAAGTTCAACACCTTCAGGGTAGAACCGTTTTCAGAATGAATGTTTTGCCAAATTTTAGCTTGCCAGATGTGAGGGTTCTCAAAATACTGACATGCTTTCAGGAGTCCAGAGTGAAGGACAACGCCCAGTGGAAGAATGAGTGGTGGGACTCATGGAACTTGAGCCGCCAGGAGGGCTGGGTAGGCAGACTATGGGACTGGGAAGGCAAGGGGTGGCAAGGCAAGACATGGGAAAACCGATGGGAAGACGAGCCATGTGAAGGCGAGCTGTGGGAAGACAAGAAATGGCAGGGCAAGCGCTGGGAAGATAACACATGGGAAGACAAGGGGTGGCAAGGCAAGCCATGGAAAGGCCAATGGGAAGACGA